AATTAAAAAACAAAAATCAAAAATATTTGCAGTTCAAATAGGGCAAAATCCAAAGAGAAATCAAATGGCCCAAAGGCCCAATATATCTTAAGTGCATTCTCTTCTTCCATTCAATCATCCCTAACATTCTTTGTGTCTCCATTTTCAGCCGCCTGAGTTTTTCATTCGACTATTGAGCTAAGCCCTCTGATAATTTTCTCGAAATGACAGATTCCTCATCCTCCGTTGAAAGTTACAGTTCGAGTTCTGAGAGTTACGAATCGAGCTCTGAAACCTCCTCTCTAAAGAGGCAACGTACTTCGACCTCGACGACGATGATATCTTCCGGTGGTACTGATGAGAAGAAGAAACTCACGGCGACGCTGATTGATCTCGATGTTATTGACTGCTCCGTTTGCTTCGATACATTGACCATCCCTATCTCTCAGGTCTAATTATCGAACTGAATCGGTTTATATTTCATAATGTGATAGTTGAATTCGAAGCTTTCGAGTTGATTGATGATTTAGATATTTAGGAAAAGGATTGATTGCATAACAACGGAAGAAATGACTTTGGAATTTTGGTTTTTCTTATGAATTTCTTTTAAGATGACCATTTCAAAGAACAATCTCTTGTAGGTACGTAACTCTATTTGTTGGTATTTTTTTTTTGGTATTCAGTGTGTTAATGGTCATATAGTATGCTCTACTTGCTGCACAAAGTTGAAGAAGAAATGTGCGACATGTTCTTTACCGATTCTTTCCCGCAACAGAGCAATGGAACGGGTTCTTGAACTACTCAGATTTCCATGTTCAAATGCGGAATTTGGCTGTTCTGAGGAAGTCATTTATGATGAAAGATCAGCGCATTTGGAGCGGTGCGCTTTCGCACCATGTACCTGCCCTTTTACCAGCTGTAGCTTCACTGGCTCGTACATGGATCTATACGAACACAGCGTCGATAAACACCTTAAGTCCTTGTCCATGTTTGAATGTGGAAATCATGTGTACATTCACCTCAAAGGTGGTGAGAAGGTAGTTCTCAAGGAAAAGACTACGGACGAAAGAAGCGGAGGAGGAGAGCTTGTAGTTGTGGAGTGTTTCGACACGCCATATGCTCGAATAATCTCAGTTAGCTCTATTGCACCCAATGTCCCAGGAATTGGTTTGTTCAGTTACAACTTGAAGTTAGATTCATCTCACTGTGATCGCTTGTGTTTTGGATCAAAAGTCAAGAGAGTTTGTGAAGTGAGCGGTGAACTACCGATTACACATTTTACGTTGATTCCTTTATACGTCTGCCCTGAGTACAAGCTGAAGATAAGCATCACCCGTAGGGCTTATTAGGATCACAAAGAAGCTTCAACATCATCACTCATCAACTTGATGCTCTTAATTAATTAGCACGTATGTTTTTGCTTAAGTTTGAAAAAAAGCTCAGACTGTTTGGAAAATTTTACAATAAGAA